GGACGGCGGCGGCCGGGAACGATGCATCAGAAGCTGCTGAAGAGCGCGCACTACATAGAGCTGGGCAGCTACCAGTACTGGCCGGTCCTGGTGCCCCGCGGCATCCGCCTGTACACCTACGAACAGATCCCCGTGTCCCTCAAGGACAACCCGTACATCACCGACGGCTACCGGGCCTACCTGCCCTCCAGGCTGTGTATCAAAAGGTAAATGTGGCCGTCTCTGCCTGGCGCGCCCCCTCCTCTCACCTACAGCCTTTTTGTCTGTTTTCCCCTTGCCCATCCTGTTCTCGCCGCCCCATCCTTTCATCCCTTGCCTCCTTTCTTTTACCTCCCTTTCAACCCAACCGGGGTACTAGATCCACAGAATACGATGATAGTAACAGTGATGATAATTACAACTCGCCTATGCGCTTTGCCGTTTACACGGTGCTTTAACATGCTTTATTTCATTTGGTGCTCACTGAGATACGTGTGGGAATCTACCCTCCTGACAATGGCTGAGCCATAGCTGCCTGCGCATACCTAAGCATTGTTTCTTTTTAGTGCAGCCTTGTGGGAATTCAGATGTTTTGAGCCACAAAAATGCCTATATAACAGAAAACAAGTTCACATTGCCACATAGATATATTTAGAAACTCCTGATTCATTCATTTAGGAAATACTTATGGAGCTCCTGGTAGGTGCTAGGCACTGTACCAAGTCCTGCGGTAAACAGCAGTCGTGGCTTTTTTTCTCATGAAACAAAGGTCTAACTTGGGTGACAGATATTTAAGAGATAATAACACTATTACATAATAATCGTGGGAAGTTCTGAGTAGAGCACCACAGAAGGATTGCTAAGAAAGGAATTTCTTGGTCATTTTAAACCTTTAAAAGCAGAGTTTCATGACGCCTGTGTTTACCAAAACAAAACTGAAAAACATTACTGTTCTAGTTCTTAGAAGAGCTATCAGACTCTCTGCGTGTACTAAAATGCAGCACCCTGCTAATTAACATAATAGATAGTGATCAGCTCCAGGTTGCTTTAGAGGCAACCTCAGTGCTATAATGTGGCTATTGCTCCCTACCATGTGTCTGATTCTCAGTCTTCTTTCCTCCATGGTCTTTCCCCATCCTTTCCCTTTGTCCTGCCTTGAAAGTGTTTCTGTGACTCAGTCACAAGGTGACATCACTATCCCTACGATGGCCCACAGGGCTTCACAATCTGAATTGTAATTATTGCTTTACTTCTGAATGACTCTTGTGCATGAGTAAATGCACAAGAAATCACAACTGGACCCTCCTGTGAACATGGAGTTCCACGAGGATACAGTGGGCAGTGAATTGCCTCAAATATTTTATACCCATTTACCAGTGGTCCTCTGTTTAAGCCCAAATCTCTTGGGAGTAAGAAGTGAAGTATTAGATCTTGAGCTGGTGAGTCAAAAACTTTGAATATCCAAATCTGATACTTACCTGCTGTGTGACATTGAGCAAAAATTAACCTTTCCGAGCCTTCTGTTCCCCTTCTGTGAAAATGATAGTAATCTCAGTATCTGCTCCAAAAGGTTTAAATGAGATTTTTGGATGTAAAATGCTACACAAGGCCTGGTACTTAATAAGCTCTCAATAAATGGTGGCTGTTATCATCACCAATGATGTTAAAGTTGAATAGATGAGAACGATGAAGACGATTACTAATTCTGAAGCCAAACAGAGTATAGGGGCACCTAGTTTTTCATACAATACAAGTACATCCTTTCTTGGCAATATGCTTCCAAGTGCTCTTTCTACTAGCTTGATCTTTTCCAGGTTCAGCTTTTGCCCTCTCTTTGATCTTTCAAGAGTAACCAGGATAGATTATGGAGAGAGGGGGAGGTTTTCTGTGTGGTAACAGCCTGCCAATACTCTGTTTTGGAAGGAACATGGGAGATTATGCCTCTCAGTTCAGTTAATCGAGTTATACTGGGTTTCACAAAATGAAAATTCTGAAGCAGCAGGCATAGTATTTATTGTCAAAACAGTCCTGTAGTTAAATATTTTCCAGCACATTCCTGAGCCCCTCCCCACCCCAGTTATAATGTAAGATAATGCTTGTGTAAGATAAAGCCTGAAATTCATGAGACAGAATCACTTTGATTGTTGGTTGTTTCACAGTTTGAGATCTTGCTATGTTTTTCACTTGTAAAAGTGGGAGTGAGGTCCATGGTGACTACTGCAAACTCAGTAGGTTAGAGTTGTATTTTAATGTTTACTAATAAGAATTTCTGAAGCAGTAAAGGCCAAAGATCTTAGTTTAAGCAAAAAGATTCAATTTTGCAAGATAAATGCAAGCATATTTTCATCTGTAGTGGTGATGTCATTTTCTGATGCATAATCAGGTCAGCAGTCCTATACACACAACTAGTCAAATCCTACAACTGAGCTATACCCCTATATACCTGAAGAACCATTTCACAGAATTGAGGAGGGACATTCCCACAGGATCTAATCCAGGGCCTTTATTTTACAGATGATGAAAGTGAAACCCAGAAAGATTAAGTAATTTGTGCATGATCACAGAGCTAATTGTGACTGGGGATAGGGAAAGGACTGTAAGCCTCTTGACCCTTGGTTGGGGTGGTACACTCCACCCATTGGTGCTGCCAAAACCACTTGGGACATTCTGAAAGAAGGCAAATAGTACCCATATGAAAAGTAGCATTCTGTTTTTCCTATAGTTTGGTTTAAAAACATCCACAGCAACGTTGTTCCAGCATGCCTGTTCTTAAAGAATCTTTCTAATGGATCAATTCGTTATGTATTCTGCTTCTCCTAAGTTCATTTAAATTTGCATTTTATTTAATGAGTACTTTCACCTCCAGCAGGTGGCATAGAAGTTAAGGTACTAAATCCCACATGACTGGCTGTATGGTTCAAGTCCTAGACCCAGTGGCTTGAAAATCACAGGGCGTATGTGTGTGCATGCCCAAAATCCCAAGAGGAGAATAGAGAAAGGATTGTGATGTGGCTGTCCCCCCCAGGGGGTAATTTATCACTTTTCCTCTCTCTTTCTTTCTCTGGGAGCACATGTGCCCTATAGCCAAAACATAAAACAAAATAAAATTTAAATTTTAAAAAGTGTATTCTAAGTTTGTGCCTAATGTGCCTGACTTCTTTGCACTGAGCAGGTTTCAGATACCTATCATAGGGATAGTGTGCTAACATTCTGTTTTCATCTGTGCAAGCATTTCTGTTGCCATTTAGTGACTAATCTGAGCAAAGCACAGTGCTTAGAACAGTGTTGTCACAAACATGAATGTCAGGGAGTCTAAAGGCTCGAAATGAGACAGAATTTATACTTAAATAATTTAATACAAGGGAAAAAATGGTAAGTATGATAATAGAAGTGAGCACCAAAAAAGCTCTAAGATCACAGGATTGATGAGAGATATGGAAAAACTTAAAGAAAGATGAATTAAATTAAATGATGTATCCAATTTAGAAAGCCATGGATGGAGTAACTTAAGTAACAGGTATTGGGTGGCTCCCCCAGATGCTTCCTAACCCTTGAACGCTGACAGCTGAGGAAGCCAGTATGACTCTGACCTGCATGTTTGTTTACTTTCCAGTTTGTTTATTTTATCTAATGAGACGGTAAATATCTGGAGTCATTTGCTGGGTTTCTTTCTCTTCTTCACCCTGGGAATATATGACATGACATCTGTGTTACCTTCGGCAAGTGCATCCAGAGAAGATTTTGTAATTTGTTCTATTTGTCTTTTCTGCTTCCAGGTGAGTCATTTCACAAACACTGTTATTGCTAAAAAGAACTTTTGTCAGGCAGGCTAGGCAGATGCCTTTACTTCAGACTCATCCCTTACTTTAAAGAGCTCCCTCCCCCCAATATTGGGTATTGGGTCATCTCATGATGCATTTTTGCATAGAAAAACAGAAAAATGCATCATGACTTTTCTGATGACCTAATACCTTATTTATTTTCCTAATGTAAATACCAAAAAGACTGTTTTGTAGTATGGATGTTACTATGAGAATATATTTGAAATCCAATAAGTTTTAAAGATTAAGATAATGTGTTTATCTCTTATCTTTATTTAGGATTAATATAAGGCTATGAATCTGCTTGTACTCTGTTATATGGTTGAAGTAGAACAATAGTGCTTAAAATTTGAAAAAAATTAATCTTTTTCTTATTTATGACTGTATTTTTGCATATGTCATACCCATACCACCTTTACTTTACTATACTGTTTTTCTGGTGTTGATCTTTTCTTCTGTCTCTTTAATGTTAATTTCCTTTGATCATTTTACAGTTTAATTGCCTGGTTTCAAATGCTTCTGGTTTCTCTTGCACTCTCCCTCTTATATTGTTAGTTCCATTACACTTGCATTTTTCTTCAAGGGTTTGTAAACAAAGTAATAATAAAAATTTTAAAAAATAATAAATGCCCTTAAAAGTCACATTTAATACTTTTCAAACAGGTCATTTTCAGGACAAAATATGAGCCATAATTCTGTTGACATTTAAAAAATATATTTTTAATGCAGAGAGTACAGAAAAACAGAAACAAAAAGGAAATACTGCTAACCCCTTTCCTCCTCCACATTTGATATTTGTGTGGGCATGGCTACCTCATCACTCTTTACCCACTTACTCATCTGCTTGTCTACCTATTTCCAAGCTGTGATTATCTTTGTTGCTATTTTGTGACCTGCTTTTGTGGCATTTGATATTGTGATAGTATGATCGCTCTTTGTCAGTGAGAATATACACCTTATTCTCTTGATTTAGGGTACTTAATTTCAAGGATAACTGAAAACAAATAAACAAACTGGAGGCATGTTTAATTGGTTCAGTATACTCTTACTGTCCCTTGTTAGCCAAAAAGCCACAGACCAGAAAGAATTTTAGACAGTGGATGAAAAAGTGAAGTGTGGCTAAGTACAGTCTGTGGAAACTAGTTAAGCTTGTTTAATGACCCATGGCCATTTTTCAGCCTTACCAGTTGCTTATAAATTTATCATTGGACCTACTTCATATTGTTTCTCTGTCCCATCTTCTCCACCCCTACTATCACAGACTTGGTATGGGCTCTTCTCATGCTGTCCAGGTCTATTCTCATAAGCTCTCATCTCAGCCCTACTGGTTCATACCCTCCGTAAGGGTGCACTTAAATTTTTTGCAGTATTTTACCTAGCCCATAATGTTAAAGCTAAAACCTCTTGATGTACAGGACGTATTAATAAGATCATGAGGAAGATCACATGACATTTTTCAATGGGTTTCTGTTTTTTCTTTCAATTTTGCCACCAGGCACATATGCTTGCTGGAAAGAAATGGAGAGATTGTGAGAGAGAAAGGAAGAAATCACTCCCCATGGGGCATGGTCACATTACAATCCCTTTTCCTCCATTTCCCCCTCCTGTTGGGATTTTAGACACACATACACACACACCCAGTGTGTTTTTTATTTCCAGAAGGTGCATGTACTCTCCAGAGAGAGAGAGAAAGAGAGCGAAAGTACCTCCCAATGGGGAGTGGTCACATCACAATCCCGTCTCCATTTCTTTATCCTGTCGGGATTTGGGGCACACATACACATGCACCTGGCATGTTTTTAAGCCATTGCAATGGGCCACGATTCGAACTACAGTTGGCTGTTGTGAGATCAGGCTCCTTTAACCACCAGGCTACAGGGCTGACCCTGTGCACACCTTTTTTTTATGTCTTCAGTGAAGACATAAAAAGACCCAACTCAAGTGACATCCCTTCATTCTTACTTATTTTAAATTACCAGAGGGTGTATGTACTTGCCTGAGAAAGAAAGGACTCTACCCCCAAACACCCCACTGAGGTGTGATCATGCCAGAATCCTTTTTCCTCCATCACCATACCACCAGGATTCGGGACGCACACATACACAGGCCCACCATGTTTTTCATGCTGCCAGTGCTGAATGTGAGATCTGGCTCCCTATTTATAGAGCTTAACCGCTTCACTATGAGTCCAGCCCATAACATACCTCCTATGATGCTCTTTTCCTTCCATTAGTTACACCCACAAATGCACACACCACCTAGCCAGTACCTCCTTTCTCAATTTTCTAATAGCACTCTGCATTGACTTTTCCTATGGGACTTCTTACAGTACTATTTGTTTTCTTGTTTCTAAAAAATCGTTTTTAGAGTAGGAGGTTCATTTTTGTGTCTCTCTTTAATGCATGACACATGGCAGGTATGATGGTGGGAGGTGGTTCTGCCATAGATGCCTTATCAATGCTGATTGAATCATATTAGCTTTGCTATCAATTGGGCAACCATATAAAATCAGAGAGTCATAATTATTTTTCTTAGAGACAATAAAGTGATGTGTAACTAACAACAGTGAACTACACGAAGAATTTCATATGGACATGAAAAATGAAGGCTTAAGTGAAAAAGCAATTAACAGGTGTATTATATTAATTTTAAAAAGTATATATTTATCATGTGCATACACTTCTGTATGACAGGCGTTTGATATACATATTGAAAATATATGGTGATAGGAACAGCAAATGGCGTAGTGGATACATCACTGGACTCCTACATGGCCAACTATGGTTTGAGTCCTGGACCTGGAAGCTTAGAACTCATGCCAGATAGGTGTGCATGCTTGCCCAGGATCCCAGAGAAAAAGGGATTCAGCATTTCAGCATGGCCATC